CCGTAAACCTGCACCTGGGGGCCATGAACCTAAACCCAAAGACCTATACCCTATGCCCTATGCCCTATACCCGACATGTTGCAAGTTCTACACTTCTATGTTGTGGAGCTACAGGAAAAGTCTCCACACCAAACCCCTTAACCCATGAACCCAACCCCAACACCAAACCCCATAATCCCTAAAACTTCAACCCTAAACCCCCGAACCCCAAACCCTGAACCCAAAACACCCTACACCAAGGATGAGGTTCGAGGGCGCAAAGATTTGAGCCAAAAACACGGCGCACCACTTTTTGATCCTCCCAAAATCGGACCCCACTAAGAGGGGCGAGGGTGCCTAGCTAGAGGTTCCAGGGTTCAGGGTTCAGGGTTTTTAGGGTTTAGTTTAGGGTTCAGGGCTCCAGAGTTCTCCAAAAAGCCCTTGCCTTGCAGGAGCGACTGCAGGTGCAGCATGCCCCCTCGGAGGGACTGAAAACGTCCTTCGGCTTCATTTGATCCTTGGGACTTGGGACGTTCCCCCCCCTGAACACCGTCCTTAGTAGGGACTATAGTGAGGGGAGAGGGGGGGGGGGGGGAACCCTAGACCCTAAACCCTCAACTAGCTGTTGGGAACATCCCAAGTTGGGACTTGATGGTTGGGACTTTTTGGGCGGCTTGTTGGGGTTCGAAGTGATAGGCTTACCATGTTTCCTTACTCTTTGTTTTGATGTGTGGGGACTAGGGGGCTACTTAGTATTATTATCATTATAGTTATATATGTATATATATATATATATATGTGTGTGTGTGTGTGTGTGTGTGTGTATTGGGGGGGGGTCATGAGGTTTATGGGCAACCCAAAACCTAGTCTGTGTTTTGTAGGCTACTTGCAATCATTGTAATCATACCCCGTGATCGATGTATCAGGCTCTTCTTGCATTGTTAACTCCAAAATGTTTCCCGTCCGCAAGAAAAGTCGGTCTTCGAGTTGGTTTCAATGTTCCATTTTGTGTCTTTGCCGCCTAAGCCCGAGACCCTAAACCCCAAACCCTAAACCCTAAACCCTAAACCCTGCTGTATATCTACCTTAGGCTTAAGGTCGTAGGATTTCAGGGTTGAAGGGCTTGAGGCGCGAGGGTGGGCAATTAGTCCAAGGATTCTCCTGCCTTTCCCGCTGACCCACAAAGACAGGCTGGGATGGGATGGGTTTAGGGTGTAGGGTTTAGGATTTGGGGTTTGGGGTTTAGGGTTTAGGGGTTGGGGTTTAGGGTTTAGGGTTTGAGGTGTCTGGCTGCACTCTGTTCGACCAAGACTAGGGTTGCAGGGATTAAGCTTCAGGGTTTAGGTTGTAGCGGCTTAGGAGACGGATTCTTAGTGCCTTCACGACTGGCATGCAGCTGAATAGGACACCCTAAACCCAAAACCCCTACACCCTAAAGCCTAATCCCTAAACCCCCTAGAATCCAACAAGCCCCCTTCAAGCCTGAAGAGCCCACATCGAGAAACATAAACACTCACAGGGTTCGAGCATGTGGTTTGAGCGGCCTCATGGTTTCTTGACGCCTTTAGGGGTTAGGGTTTAGGGGTTTTAGATTACAGGTTGGAGGGTGTAGGGGTTAAGGTGCAAAGCAGCTTGACACTCAGACCCCCGCAACTAGAAGCCCTATAAACCCTGACAACCTAAATCATCAAAGTCCCACCTCCTGCGCCGCAGAGGGTCAACAACAATAATGTTTGACGGGGGTCCTATACAATCCCTGCACAGACGGGTTTCAGAGTTTAGGAGTTGTGCTTGAATTCGGAGGGCGCAAAATGGCCTTGCAAATCTTTCCTGCGATTGGGAGGGGGGTTGGGGGGGTGCTCGGGTCTCGGAATTTGGTGGCTGTAGGTTTGGGGTGTCTGGTTTAGGGTTTAGGGCTTATGTGCTTTTGAGGAGGCTTCTGCACACGCCGAAATGACCCAAGCCCTTCAAAACCGAAGGGTTTAGGGCTTAGGCTTCAGGGTTCAGAGTAGTCTCAAGAGGACGCAGGTTTTTGGGTTTAGTCCTACCCCCAAGTACTGAACGTCTCAAATCCACAACTGCAACCCTAGTCAGACCCCTCCCCTTTCCAAACCCCAAGCCCTCAACCCTAAGCCCTAAACCCTGAACCCTGAGCCCTGAACCCTGAACCCTGAACCCCAAACCGCCTCGTCCCCCTCCCCCTGCGAGAAAGTTTATGGGGAGGTTCGCGCTGTCCAAGAAGGTTCCCGATGAGAAGCTGCTGAAGGTGGATGGTTTCGGGTTGAGGGTTTAGGGCTTAGGGCTGAGGGTTTAGGGTTTAGGGTTTAGGGGCTGAGAGTTTTCAGGGCTTAGGGGGGTTAAATCTTAAAGCCTTTCGGGCTAAACCCGTCGCTGCTTTTGGTCTTTGAACTGTGGGATTTTGGGTTTATGGTTCAGCGTCCCCCTTCCTTGCTCTTCGGGCGGCTCCGGGCAAGCAAGCTTTTCTTTGGGCGCACATAGATTTCTTAGTTGCCGAGTGAGTGCACTTTACACTTTTTGGGAGACTATCATCCCCTATAGGACTGAAAGTGTACATTTTTTGGGTCTTATGAACTCAGCAAGTAAGATTTTGGGAGTTAAGGGTCTAGGGTTTAAGGAACCCAGGGAAGGGGGCACTTGGAATGCATGCAAACCGTGACTGTGCCACGTCAGTACTTCCCTCCAGGGTCGCGTAACTTCACCTACACCCTAAACCCTAAAACCCACACCCCAAACCCCAAACCCCAAACCCCAAACCCCAAACCCCAAACCCCAAACCCCAAACCCCAAACCCCAAACCCCAAACCCCAAACCCTAAACCCTAACCCTAAACCCTAAGCCCTAAATCCCACGTTAGGGAGATGAGCCGACACCCACTGCTGAGCTGCAACCCGGCCGTTGGGTGTTTAGGCTTTGAGGTTTTGGTGTCTAGGACTTGAGGGCTTGGAGTTTAGGGTTTAGGGTTTCGGGTTTAGGGTTTAGGGTTTAGGGCTTCTTGGGTCAGGCTTGCGTTGGGGGTTGAGTGTTCAGGAGGGTTTCCAGGCATGCCTGGTGTGGCGGACTCTGGTGGCTACGATGTCGCAAAGCCTGGTTTCAGTGTCGCTACCCCAACTTTGGTGTGGTCGCTCAATGTAGCGATTGTTTCGGATGTCGGGTTTAGAGTATGGGCTTGAGGGCGTAGGATCTAGGATTGGAGGCTTACGATTCAAGATGCCAGCTGGGTTTGCATTCAACCCAATGATCTGCCTGGGTTTTGGGGTTAGGGTATGATGCTCGCAGGCCCGCCACCCTGCTGGTAGCAATCAGGGGCCGTACCATGACAGGGCCCCTAAACCCCATTGAACCCTAAATTAAAGCCTCAAATGCCGTTAATAGCCCTCAGAAACCCCTACACTCCTAAACCCTTAAGCCCTTAAACCCTTAAACCCTTAAACCCCTAAACCCTTAAACCCCTAGACCCTTCAACCCTTGAAACCCTTAAACCCCTAAACCCTTCGACTCCTTCAACCCTTAAACCCTAAACCCCTAAACCCTTACACCCAAACCGGGGCCCGATCTTCCGGAGAGATCGGCGCCCAGAGCTTCGGTTGCCGAGGAACTTTAGCCAGACCCGGGCTTTGAATGCGTCGACCGTGCGCGCCTTCCCTGGAGCTTTTGGGGCTGTATGGGTTAGGGTTTAGGGTTTAGGGTTTAGGGTTTAGGGTTTAGGGTTTAGGGTTAGGGTTTAGGGTTTAGGGTTTAGGGTTTAGGGTTTAGGGTTTAGGGTTTAGGGTTTAGGGTTTAGGGTTTAGGGTTTAGGGTTTAGGGTTTAGGGTGACGAGGGCTGCAGGGCCTGAGGGTTTCCGGGGCTTAGGGCTATCGGGTTCAGGGTAAAGTTTTAGTTGTTGTTCTTGTGTTTCTTCTTGGCTTGTTCAAGACACTCAGCTCATACGTGCATAGTCTTCAAGCTGTTTAAAGCTCGGCTCGCCGAAGTATGTTGGGGCTTAGGATAGTTGGGTGTAGGATCTGCGGTGCTTCCTTAGAATTAGGGTTGAAGACCTAGAGGGTCTAAGCAGGGCGTCGTCGCAAGCACGCTTTTGCTTGTGGCACAAACAAGATAGGAGTTTGGAAGGAGTTGAGACTACCGTCCCCTGTGGCTTCCGCGGCCAGTTTTGAACAAGAGCACCCAAATCATTTGCTTAAGCCTACACTCCTATGATCCCTACCCTAAACCCTAAACCCTAAACCCTAAACCAGAAACCCTTTTAGGGTTCTGTTGCCCATGATGGACCCGAAACCCTCTCGAGTCACCGAAGCCGAAGGCATTGTAGCAGATGTGTGTCCTGACCATGAGCTCCAAATCTGAACCTAGCTTCCAGCTCTCCGCGGTTTACGGTTTAGGGTTTTGGGGTTTAGGGTTTGGGGTTTAGGGTTTAGAAGATCCTGTTTAGGAAGCTTTTTTCGTGTAATGTTCCTAAACCCTTCAGGGTTTTGGGTTTAGGGTGTAGGGTTTAGAGGTTTAGGGTGTAGGTGCGGGACCCAGGCATGCGTCCACGAGAATTACTAGAACAAGGGCTCGAGCCGCAACGTAGTCGCTCCAGGCTTGGATCTCCCTCTTACCCTAAACCCTAAACCCTAAACCCTAAACCCTAAACCCTAAACCCTGTTGGTCACACCCTACATCCTGAAGCCCTAGCTTGCCAAGTAGTTCGTTTGTAGGGCACAGGGTTCGTGGCCTCTTAGGGGCTCAAAGGGCTTGTGCAGGGTTTAGGGTGTTCAGGGTTTTTAGGGTTTATAGGTTTTAGGGTTTAGGGTTTAGGGTTTAGGGTTTAGGATTTAGGGTTTAGGCTCTTTAGGCTCTTTAGGCTCTCAGGCTCTTTAGGCTCTTTAGGACCTCCAGGGCTTCATCCATTCACCCCCCATCTCAGGAACTGTCACGCTGGTCCAGGGCCCGCCGGGCACAGGCTCTCCGGATAGCTGGTTGGTCCGAAGCCCCCCCTGAAGCCGTAAGGGTTAGGGTGTAGGGTGTAGGGTTTAGGGTTTAGGGTTTAGGGTTTAGGGTTTAGGGTTTAGGGTTTAGGGTTTAGGGTTTAGGGTTTAGGGTTTAGGGTTTAGGTTCAGGGATCTTTGAACCCCAAACCCTGATCCCTGAAAACCAAAGCTGTCAAACCTCAACCACCAACATGTTTTTTGGGTGAATGGGGGGGACCCGAACAAGGAACCCCACAGGGCGAGTATGGGGCCATGCTTGCGGCTACTTCGGTCTATAGGGACAGATTCCTAGATGTACCCTAAACCTCAGATCCTAAAGCCTGAATCCTAAGGGAAGCTGATTTCCTGGCAGGGAAGACCACCACCTGCGTGCAAGTACTGCGGCGCTGGGTCATGATGATGCCAGCGAAAAGGCCCTAAAGCACAGTCTACAGGTTTTTGTTTTTAAGGTATGTCGGGCATGTTTTGTGTAGTGTTGGCCATTTTTGTGTGGAGGGTATTTAGGGTATTTTTGTATGTTTGGGCATTTTAGGGTATTTGTTTAGTGTATTTTGGGTGTTCAGAGTGTTTAGGGCATTTGGGGTATTTTGGGTGTTTAAGGGTTCAGGGTTTCGTGTTTGTTTGGAGGGGGGGGGGGTTGGGTTAAGGGCCTTAAGGCAAACTTCAGGGGCTGGTTTCCTTCTTTTCTTGCTTAGTAGCTGAGTATAGACATGTATATATATATATATATACATACATACTCCTTACCATAACTGAAAGGTTCACCTTTCTTTTTGGCCCAGGGTACTCAGCAACTAGGCTCGGAAGCAGCTTGACCGTTTTGACTCCCTGTGTGCGCAGGCACTCTGGGTAAAGGGCGCGCTGGGCCCAGGGACCAGGGACGCAACGTCCCGAAGCCTAAACCCTAGGGTTCATATAGGGCTTTATATAGGGCTTGTTTCTAGGGCTTTATATAGGGCTTTATATAGGGTTTATGTAGGGTTGAAATAGGTTTCTTTGGGACACAGGGTGTTGGGTTGAGGGTATTTTAGGGCATGTAGGGGGATTTCGGGAACTGAGGTTTAAGAGTCCGGGTCCTTCTACTGCCGAGAGGTGGAGAGTTCCTTGTCCCGGACAGGCGAAAGACCACGAGCATCCTTGCAACGAGTGGGTCGAACATCGCCGCCCCTCGTCTACTATAGGGGCGTTAACACGTAGAATAGGGTTTTTTGGGGGGGGGGGGATCCGAGTATACTTACAAAGGAACCATAAGGGAACACGTAACACTATTTGTAATTATTCCGACCCCTTTGCTACTTGGGGGGCTGTCCTTTCTCCCTTCTTGATTCCTAAACCCTTAACCCCAAACCCTATAAACCCTAAACCCTAAACCCTAAACCCTAAAAGAACCTCAGACCCAATCAAGCCCCGGAGCATCTAGAAAGGGTTGGGGTCTCTTGGGGTTTAGGGTTAGGGTTTAGGGTTTAGGGTTCTGGGATTCAGGGTTTTAGGGTTTCAGGGTTTTTGGATTTGGGGTTTTGGGGTTTTGGGGTTTCAGGGCTTCAGGGTTTTAGGGTTTCGGGGTTTTGTGGTTTTAGGGTTCAGGGTTGTAGGATTTTGGGGTTTCGGGCTTCAGGATGTTGGGGTTTTATGGGTTTAAGTTTTAGGCTTCGAAGGTTTGAGACCCCACCCTCACTCCCACATAAAATTGGGCAAGGTGGTACAGCAGTGGGAATGACATGTGGGTAGTTTTTGTTAAATTATGGTTGTCCCTTTTTGTGGTCTCTGTCTTAAAGGGTGCCGCATAGGGACCCCAAAAGCCATAACTTAGGCGACTGCCCATCTGGGTGGTTGTCAAAGTTATGGTCCCTTTTGGGGTCCCTAAACATAATACGGCACCTGATATTTAGGGTGCCCAAAAAGGGTAAACCCTAAACCCGAAACCCTAAACCCTAAACCCCAAACCCTAAACCCTAAACCCCACAAGCCATAATTTGGGAATCTACCCATATAAAGCGGTTGGAGGTAGACAACTTGGTGGAGGGGCTGGTCGCCATGGGCATCAATGCCTCTTGCCTGGAGCGCTGTGCGAATTTCACGAGTTGGTTCAGGGTTTAGGGTTTAGGGATTAGGGTTTAGGGTTTAGGGTTTAGGGTTTAGGGTTTGGGCATCTCAGACTCCCTGCGATTTTGGGGGTGTAACAGGGCACATCCCCCTTCCCCCTTGGGAAATCCCCATGATGGCCATGGCCCCACGGGAATTCTATCCTCGAATGCCCCTTGTACCTTCGGAGGTTTAGGATCCCTAAACCCTAAACCCTAAGCCCTGAGCCCTAAACCCTAAGGCAGTTAGGGTTTTGGGTTGGAGTGTGCTTGGGATGAAGATGCGCGCTGATCGAGTGGATGTTTGGAGTTCGTTTAGGCGAGTCCAAACCCCCTACTTAAAAAAAACAACCGACAGGCCTCTTCAGAATGTCGCTTCGGGGTTGAGGCAAGTTTGTTGAGAGCTTTCTTTGCTGCGTGCTTCCCCGGGCGTTGGCGCTGGTGCTGGCGCTGGCGTTGGCGTTGGCGTTTGTTGGTATTGGGTGTTGTTGTTGCTGTGCTGGTGCTGTTGCTCTTTGTCCCATAACAGGCTATCGGGACCAGCATCTTTTGCTGGATTGCTTTTTGACCGGAGTTATGTCAAGTCTGTTGGGAAGAGTTGAAGGTTTTCATACCTAGCTTTGCTCGGACCAGGTGTTTGGGCCATTTCTTTCTGTGTCGGGAGTAGGTTTGTAGGGATCGCGGGGATGCCCCGTATTGCCCTTCTTCCCCTGTGTTAGTTGCTAGTTGCTAGCTTTGTGCTGAATCAACAAAGGGTAGCCCATAATTCTAGGGTACTGGACAGTCTGTGTGAGGTGTGATGTTTTGGATTGTTGTCCAAGGCCTCACCCACTGGACGCCAATCCCCGATTTGGAGTTGAGGGCTCAGGGTTTAGATGAGGGTTTAGGCTTACGATTAGGGTTTAGGGTTTGCAGTGCTTTGGGCCCTGATGCAAGACAGGAAAGCCTGCTACTGTGTGGATATCTTACGTTCTGTTAAAGTCCCAAGACCACTTTCCCAAAGCACCTGCCAGAGGCGCAGACTATTATTGGTGTTAGCGTGAAAAGTGTTTTAAGTTGTGGTCTTTCTGGTCCCCCTCCCTCCCCCCCCACCCCCGAAGCCCTCTAAACCTTAAACCCCAATTCCTACCTCAACACCCTAATATAGGGTTTAGGTTTTACGGTTTAGAGATTTATGGAAGCCCTAAGCCCTAAACCCTAAACCCTAAACTCTTTGAGGCTGTGCGCCTCGGCCGCCCGGAGATCATGCGCCCGGAGGTGTCTCGCTGCGCCGCTCGGCAAAGAGGAAGATCCTCTAGTTTGGAGTTTTCGGGTTTAGGGTTTAGGGTTTACGGTTTACGGTTTACGGTTTACGGTTTACGGTTTACGGTTTACGGTTTAGGCTTGGGACAAGGCGCAAGAGTCCTGTCTAAACCTTATGTAAGCTCCATAATTCTTATCAATCCCATAAACTATAAACCTTTTTCAGCAATGGAGGCCCTCAAGCCCTCATATCATTGCAAGCGCCATAAACACAAAACCCTAAGCCATTTTCTCTCTACACATTTAGGGTTGTTTAACGTTAAAAATCCCATTTAGGGTTTTTCGGGTTTTTAACTGTAAAAAACTCAAAATGCCACGGAAGTCGAAAGCACCAAGCCACAGCAGCAGCTGCCGAGGTAGTGGAGAATGTCGCCATGAGGAATATGGGTGTGGCTTCCTTCAAGGACCTGCGAGAATGACCCCAGCGTTTAGGGTTAAGGGCTTTAAGGTGAAAGACCTTTGGGGGGTGCAAGTTGGGATGTTTCCCCTTATACTAACAGTCCTTAGTAGGGGCTTAGCGTTTAGGGTTTAGGGTTTAGGGTTCAGGGTTTAGGCTGTAGGGTTTGGGCTTCCATAGTCCCTATGAAGGACTGTTAGTATAAGGAGGGACATCCCAAAGTGTAAAGGAAGTTACATGGTCCTAGGGTTCTGAAGTATGGGCCCTTGGGTTTTCTTCAGCAAGGGCCTCTAGATGAAGGGGCCATGCAACAACCCTTCGAACCAGGTAATGGTGTTCCATGTCAACTGTGCTAGCACTACCACCTTCCACTAAAAACCCTCTGAAGGACGATCTAAAGCCAACGGACAGCCTAAACCTCCTCAACCTCCCTGTACCTCCCTCCAACTTGGGTTTAGGCCCTAAACCCTAAACCCTAAACCCTAAACCCTAAACCCTAAACCCTAAACCCTAAACCCTATAAGCCCTTAACTGCTGTGCCCGAGTTCCCCCTTGAAAGTCGCAGTTTCCAGCATTCGGTAGTTGAGATGGCTCGGACGCACAGTTGCGGTTCGGATTCCCAACTCGCGCCCACACCCAAAAGGCACCCTGTTTCTCCTAGCTTTCTGGGAAGGGTCTATAGGGTTTAGAGTTCTGGGGGTTTTGGGGCTGTCGGGTTTAGGGTTTAGGGTTTAGGGTGTAGGATTTAATTTAGGGTTTAGGGTTTAGGGTTACAGGGTTTGTGGGTTTAGGGCAAGTCCCTCGAGGACGTGCCGGAGAAGGCCAAGCGAAAAGCCATCCAAGAAGCCATGGAAGAAGCGCAGGCGCGCCCTAGGGTTTTAGGGTTTAGGGTTTAGGGTTCAGGGTTTAGGGTTCAGGGTTTGGGGTTTAGGGTTTGGCGTAGGTTGCGCTGTTTTTGTTCTGTGCTGTTTCAGGTGCCGCTGTTTTGAGTTCTGGTGGTTTAGTTCGCAGGGTTTTTGGTTTATTTCTTGCAGGAGCTTGCATGGTTGGTATCATCTTCTTAATCTGAGACCTCATCTGTGTAGCCACGGTTGTAGACGAAACCCCGCACCCCGAAAGCCTCGATTCAAAGGATTGCGAATTCGGGGCGGGGGGGGGGGGGAGGGGACCCTTGGCAAGCTGACAAGCTATGCAATGTTTTTTGTAATGAGGCTTCTCCAAAGTCAGCATAGTGGGGCTGAGAGTACAGGGCTGTCAAAGGCTCAGGCAAGTTTTCCAAAACTCCTACATTAAGGAGCATGACCTGAACCCTACATCGCCGTACGTGTTTTTTGACTTACTGGCCCCCAGGCCCTCCAAGCCTAACAGGGGGGGATGAATCCTAAACCCCTGAACCCTCCAGCCTATGGGGCCTTTAAGGCCTTTAGGGCCTCTAGGTCATCTAGGGCCTCTAGGGTTCAGGGTTTAGGGTCTAAGTTTAGGGTTTAGAGTTTTCAGCAACAGGTCATCTGCTGCACCGTGGTCACAGCTGGGAGTGCGTTGCTGAAAGACTTCCGCCCTCGGGGCAGCACTAGCCCAGGAGGTTCAATCGCTTGGAGTTGAAAGGCGCGGCTTTTTGTATTGTTTTTTTTTTTTTTTGTGGGGGGGTGGGTTGGGTTTAGGGTTTTGTGGGGCTTGGTTCAGGGTACAGAGTTGCTGTTCATTGCTTGTCTTAGGCGCCTTGTTTTTCCAAACTCTCCATTTGTGTTTGGCGTGGCTTTGTACTTGAAGCTGGACCTGTACCATGAACCAAAGGAGAATGCCCTAAACCCCAAACCCTAAACCCTAAAACCCTAAACCCTAAGCCCTAAACCCTAAACCCTAAACCCTAAACCCTAAACCCTAAACCCTAAACCCTAAACCCTAAACCCTAAGCCAGATCTTGCCTATCCTGCAGGGCGATGGGTTGGTATCTAAGCTGTGCGTGCTCTCCTGCGGGCACGGCTCAGGGCTGAGTTCAGGTGATCTGGACAGCCACATCCCTGAGCCTCCCAAGCCCTCTGCGGACCTCAGACGGGTTTAGGGTTTAGGGTTTAGGGTTTAGGGTTTAGGGTTTAGGGTTTAGGGTTTAGGGTTTAGGGTTTAGGGTTAATTCAGTAAATACCGTTGCATCGAATATGCTTTCTTAGAGTTTCGACAAGAGAAAAGAGCGTGCGAAAGGATATTCAAAGGTCCTGGTAGTCGGTAGTATGGTGTTTTCGGCGTTTAATACATGGCCCGAAGTTCCAACCCCCAAATAGCAACCCTAAGCCCCCATAGCTGCACTCCACCCGGATGCCCTACGCCCTACGCCAAGGATTTCCCCTGGTTCTGGTAGATGAGGCCTCGCAGGCGGCGATGGTTGTATCCTAAACCCTAAACCCGCATCCCTAAACCCTAAACCCTAAACCCTAGACCCTAAACCGCAATTACACAGGACCCCAAGAGCGACTTCCCAAAAAAATCCGCGGGAGCTCATGGGAAGCCCTAGCAACCTCTTAAACCCCAACCTAAACCCTTACAGAGCTGATTTCTTTTGTGGGGTTGCGACTGGGAGTTTCGGGTGGTTTGCCATCCTTGCAGCGCCCGCAGACCTGAATCCTAAGGGGGGCGGGGTTTATGGGGTTTAGGGTTTAGGGCATTTCCTAGGCTTGCTTTTTATCAATCGGACGTAACTTAGAGAGCATGAGACCAGCATCTCTTTCAGCTGCTGATTTCGGGCTTTAACTCAACAAACCTTTACAGGCAAGAGCCCTTTAAAACCCGGAACATTTTTGCAGGCAACCGTCTTGACAATTCTAAACCCTAAACCCTAAACGCTAAACCCTAAACCCTAAACCCTCAACCTTCCTAGTCCGAGTCCCCCCCAGATCTAAAACCCTAAACCCTAAACCCCAAGCATCTGAGAGCATGCCAGCCAGCTCTGGGCTGCTGCTGCCATCCACAGAGGGACCTCAGCATGACTCTTAGGGTCTAGGGTTTAGGGTTCTGGGTTTAGGGTTTAGGAGGGTTTAGGGTTTAGGGTTTACAAGATTTCGGCGGCTCTCCGGCTGAAAGTGTTTATCTTCTCGGTAGCCCCGCGGTACCCTTTACTTTACTCGTTTTTGTTGGTTTAAGGTTCCGTTTTTAAGTAACCAGCCCACCAAAGGGGTGCCCTTATTATGAAACGGTTATTGGGCTACCGAGTCTGTTTTGAGTCCACTCATTCAGCTCTTGCCAGATCCAGTATCTGTCATTTCAGCTCTTGACTCAACACCTTCGGTTTCAGAATATAAAGCCCTAAGCCTACCTAAACCTAACCCCCAAACCCTACACCGCGTTGAGCCACAAAAGGGCCCCTTTCTTCATCTTGACTGCCGTGGAACCTAGTAAGCCATCAAACCCGGCGGTTTTCCCGTAACCCTTTAAAGCCGAAAGCCCTAGTGGCTTAGGGTTACGGGCTTAGGGTTACGGGCTTAGGGTGAGGGTAATTCAAAACCCTCAACCCAAACACCCAAAAAGCTGGAAACGTACACCTGGCAGGTTACCGAGCCCGCGACGCTGATTTCCATTTGCCGGGGCTGCCAACAGCTGGCCCCCTCCCCAGACCTTGCGCAGGTCACAGGGTTCAGGGCTTTAAGCCCTATAAGCCCTGTAGACCCTTTAGGCAGGTTTGGCATTGATTGTGGCGCCTTGAATGGCTTAGGCAAATTCATTGTGGTGTTACAAGTTGAAAGGGTAAGTTTCGGGTTTTTGGGCTGTAGGCTTGTACGTTTAGTGTCTAGGGTTTGGGCTTGCGGGTTTTTTGGCAGCCTGCAGCTGCAAGTGCTTTGTCCAGCAACTGTGACGTTCTTTATGCGCAATCCCTAACCCCAAGGGTCCATGCACCTCATTATTTTTTGCTTGGGCCCCAAAGTCCCTATATAGGAGGCACCTCAAGGCCCATAATTAACCCGAAACTAGAGTCCTTTTCAAGAATCGCCAAACATGGTACCACTCTTTTCGGAAACCCCTATGAGAGGTATCTAAAGCCGACATTATGAACCCCAAGCCCTGTTGTAAGTGGGCGGTCTTGGGGCGGAAATGGGTCTCCATACGCTTCCACTGGGCACGCCCTGGCGCCGCTAAAGCCTTAGCACCCTAAGACCTCAAACCCTAAAACTTTTGGGTTTAAAGTTTCGGCTGAGGGCTTAAAACCAGGTTTAGGGTGAGTGTTGTGTAGAATTTATGCACTCCACACTCTCAGAAATAGCTTAGACCCCTGAAGTCGTCAAAGCCCAAGCTAGAGATGTATAGTTTAGTGCTCCGCCCTAAACCTTAAACCCTAAACCCCTAAACCCCAAACCTTAGACCCTAAACCCTAAACCCTAAACCCTGAACCCTGAACCCTAAACCCTAAACCCTAAACCCATCCCCCAGTTTGAGCTCCTGTTGGGCAGGTCCTGTGTGGTGACCACTGTCAGCTGCCTCCCACCGTCAAGTCCGATTCGCCCACGCTGGAGGACAACCCTAAAGCCCGAAAAGCCCTAAAGGGTTTAGGGTTTAGGGTTTAGGGTTTAGGGTTTAGGGTTTAGGGTTTAGGGTTCAGGGTTTAGGGTTTAGGGTTTAGGGTTCCGAAATTAGGGTTTAGGGTTTAACCCTAAAGCCTCAAACCCAACAACCCCCAATCCGCTAAATCGCCCCGGAGCCTTAAAGCCTAAAGAATTTGCCGGGAAGGGCCGGGTGAGTAGAAAGCAACTCAGCAAATTCAAAGAACGGGTCAAGGCGGAGTTGCTCACAGCCGACAGAGGCCAGCCTGCTCGACGCCAGGGAGCACCTTGCGAATGCAACCATTTCTGGGTTGCGTGGCTAAACATAGGGTTTAGGGTTTAGGGCTTAGGGTTTAGGGTTTAGGGTTCACACAGTATGAAAGGCTTGACCATGCAGCAGACATCGCGGAAGATTGTGCTGGGGTGCAAGACGTGTTGGAGCGACCCTTGGATTGGCAGGCGATGTGTCTGGTTGGGATGCCAGCTGGGAACTGAGGGCCCTCGCAAAAGGCACAGGAAGGGGTTCAGAGTTCCGGGTTCAGCAGCCCGAGCACTGCACCACCACTGGGAAGTGGTGGGGCACCAGCCTCTTGTCATGAGTTGCAGGGGCTGTTGCAGCATAAGGCTCAGAAGACGTTCAGGGATGCTGGACATGCTTCAACAAGGAGTTTAGGGTTTGAACCAACTGTTGGGTTGCGCTGAATCCGCTACTGCGCACGACTGTCGAACATCTAGCCTCATTGTCAACGCCCTACACCAGAACTACTAAGGGATCGTAAGGACATCGAACCCAAGACGGACTTCCCCCCAAAAACCAGCGCCTGCAGTATACACCTCCGACATCCTCCGGGCCTTTTTAGGGTTTAGGGTGAAAGGGTTTAAGTTTAGGGTTTGGGGTTTAGGGTTTAGGGTGAAAGTCTCTATTTTTGGGGATTAATCCTTGGGCCCTGTGAAGGGTGTTTTCCTCATTCAGGGTCCACAGTTTTGGGCGATCAGTGAGTTCCTAAGCCCTAAGCCCTAAACCCCGTAATCTGCAAGGGCAGGTTTGTAAGGGGTGTTTCGCCATCTCCCTTCTTGGATTTAAGACGGCTTTTTTCCCGGGTGTAAGGCTTAGCTTCAGAGAGTTGGATGAAGAACAAGCATGAACAAATCATTTCTACGCATCCCAGGACAACCCCAGCCACAAAAACTGCAATCTCAGCACCAACAAGAATCCAGATGTTCACGGTTCAGGGTTGAGGGTTTAAGGTTTAGGGCTTAGGGTTCATAGCTCAGGGAGAGGGCTTAAGGGTTTTCAGGTTCGACGGATAGGGGTCAGCGGTTCAGCGATCAGAATTCCAAGGTCCGCTAGACCCCTTGCCCTGGCCGAAGGTTTTCCTGAGTTTGCAGGATCGAGGGTGTTAGGGTTTAGGGTTTTCGGGTTTAGGGTTTAGGGGTTTAGGGTTTAGGGTTTAGGGTTTAGGGTTTAGGGTTTAGGGTTTAGGGTTTAGGGTTTACGGCCTAGGACCGCTTACGGTTGACCCTCGGTGTACCAGCTGCCCCGAACCCCAAAGCCCAACAAAAAGCCCCAGACCCTACACCCTGAGGGCACAGAGCCCTTGCAGGTTAGCGCTTCAGGTCTAGGGTTTTAGGCTTTAGGCCCCTAAACCCTTAAGACCTATACTCGAAACCCCTCAACCCTAAACCCTAAACCCTAAACCCTAAACCCTAAACCCTATACCCTGCATCCGAAAGCCCTCAACCATCCTAAGCCATCCTTTAAACCCCATCCCTAAGGCCCTAAGACCCCAACCCCCCCTTAAACCTCACCCCAAAACCCTCAATGAAGTCTCAGTTGGCCTTCACTTGGTGTTTAGGGTTTAGGAGTTATACCCTAAACCCTAAACCCTAAACCCTAAACCCTAAACCCTAAACCCTAAACCCTAAACCCTAAACCCTAAACCCTAAACCCTAAACCCTAAACCCTAAACCCTAAACCCTAAACCCAAAACCATAAACCCTAAACCCTAAACCCTAAACCCTAAACCCTAAACCCTAAACCCTAAACCCTAAACCCTACCACAACGAGCACGCTCAGCACCGATAGGCGCTGAAGCTCTCGCTGTTCGAGCGCCTCTCTCTTCAGGGTGTGGCTGGGCGGCACTCTAGGGCCTCAGGGTTTCGGGTTTAGGGTTTAGGCTATAGGGTTTATGGTTTGGGGTTTAGGGTTTAGGGTTGGGCTTTTTCGGGGCATGGTGGTTCTGAGTATAGCTGAGGTGCGGACTGTTGAGCAGGTCACGCCTGAAACTCTTCGAGTGCCCAAAAGGCAGTGTTCATGATCTAGGGCTTCGAAGCCCCTGAACCCTCATGTCAACCCTCAACTTTGCTTCGGCCTCAAACGCCCAAACCCTAAACCCTAAACCCCTAAAGCCTAAACCCTAAACCCTAAACCCCTAAACTCTCAAAGGCAAACCTTTCGCCCTAGGAGATGGCTTGGAACTTAGATGGCCCGCAGCTACACTCTTCCAAAAATGTTTTAAAGCAAAAAAGGCATAAAAACATCGCTGCCTGAGCCCAAAAAGAAACCCTAGGAAGCCGAGAGCGGTAAGCCGGTTTGGGGTTCAGAGTTAGAAGGGGCTTTGGGTTAGGACCCTCGAAGCCATAAACCCTAAAACCCGAAAACCCTAGAACCCTAACACCCTGAACCCTAAAACCAGAACTCCTAACCCTAAATCCTGAAACCCTAAACCCTAAACCCTATCAGGCGCAAGTTCTCAGGCTGGCGACCGAATCTCTAAACGCGAAAGCCCGGGTTAGGGTTTAGGGTGTAGGGTTTAGGGTTTAGGGTTTAGGGTCCCAGGGTTCAGGTTTCAGGGTTTAGGGTTTAGGGTGCAGCTGTTAGGTGAAGCCCCTCCTTCTGAACATTCAATACCGCCTCTTGCCGATCGTGGAGCGGGTTCAGGTTGAGGATTCTGAAAACCTCTTGGGTTTAGGGTTTAGGGTTTAGGGTGAAAGGTTTAGGGTTGAGCTTCCATTTTGGGTGTGGTAGCCAGCGATAAAGCATGAGTCGCAACAGCCCAAGTGAGCTCAACCCCAAGAAGCCTGTACTTGGAGGTTCATGGTATTGATTCGTCATTTTTTTTAAATAACCGTACGTGTCACTGTACTAAAGCCACGTTATTAGGGCACTCAAGGGGCTCATACGTGGGTTTTAGGCACAGCTATATTTGGTTCATAAGTACCCTGAACCTCCAAGTAACCCAGCCTCTGAAACCCTACCTGCAACCCCAAAGCCTGGGATCAGGGTTTAGGGTTTCGGGTTTAGGGTGTAGCGTTTAGCCACTATTTGCTTAAGAACCACCACCAAAAAATGAAAATATTCTTCCTACGAGGCAATTTAGGGATCATGATTTTTTTGGGGGGTTCTAAAGCAAATAGCAGTTTAGGGTTTGTTGCGTCAGGGTGTTGGGCCTTGGGATGTTTTGATGTTGTTTTGGCACCCCTAGAAGGGACCCCCTATATAACCCCTCTACATACCTTATATAGTCCCTAAATATACCCAAGTAGCCCCCAAAGAACCCCCCAAGAACCCCTAAGGTCCCATATAAGGGTCCCTCCTTTCGTCCCTTGTTCCCTTGGGCAGCAGCTTGAAGAGCCCTACGAAGTTCTGCGTTAGGGCTTCGGATGGCTTATGCTGGGATGTGCCCCACTTATACTAAAAGTCCCTAGCAGGGATTCGACTAGGGGGTACTATACTCTCTACTCAGGACTGTTAGTATAAAGTGGGGAACATCCCAAGGCTTCAGTTCCTAAGAGGGGCCCCTAAACCGTGAATTATGTGCGACCTGCAGGGTTTGGGCCAGCGATGGCCGAGGTATGCACCCTCTCTTGTCGGGCTTTCCATCGCACTGCTTCTATGCCGGGCAGATTCAGGACTGAATCTATATTCTTTATCTGCCAGCCAAAACTGCGAATACTAACCTTTATCAGAACCTTAGCTAAATCCAAAGAAACATCGGCCTTTTACAAATGTTGACTCGGTCAATTCCACAAAACCTGAGCATTGACGGCCCCTGTGGCAGCCTCCCGTAAACCCAGATGTTGGTGTTTAGGCCTCGTGCACACATGTCAATACCTAAAACCTAGGGCGATTTCAGGAGGTAAAGTTTCCCTTGGCGCGGTCTGCACTAGGTTTCTATGGGCCATGGTGCAACTAAACCCTAAACCCTGAGCCTATAGTCCCAACA